TCTCCACGTGAAGACAAGATCATGTAAACTTCCCGGGAGAGCATTAATATAAACTTAATAGAAAGATCCTATTTTGTGTGTGTATATATACCACCTTTTCTTTAGCCTTTCATTTGTTGATGGGCACTTAGGTTGATTTCATATCTTGGCTGTTGTGAATAGTGCTGCAGTGAACATGGGGTGCAGGTATCTCTTTGACATGCTGATTTAATATCTTTGCCTGTCTGCACAGTAGTGGGATTGCTGAATCATATGGTAGTTCTATTTTTAATTTTTTGAGGAATCTTCAGACTGTTTTCAGTTATGGTTTTACTATTTACATTCCCATCAACAGCATGCAAGCGTTCCCTTTTCCACATCCTCACTAACAATCATTACCTTTTGTCTTTTTGGTAATGGCTACTTTTTTTATTTTGGTGGTTGGCCAGTATGGGGATCCGAATTCATGACCTTGGTGTTATAAGGCTACAGTCTAACCAAATGAGCTAACTGGACAGCCCCCAAAATCCTGCTTTTTTTTTTTTTAAGGAATTTAGTTTATTAAATTATTTACTTGTAAAACTGATAATTATACATTGTTTTAGCAAATTATCAGGATGTATTAGACAGCATCCTGGTAATCTATGATGTTGCATCCTTCTGTGGTCAGTTTGCATAAATATTCCAAAGGAAAAGAATGATCTTTATTGAACTGTTAACGTGAAATCACGATGCTATAGATCAAATGCCCCCCCCCCAACCTCACTGAAGCTTAATTCCCACTGTAACTGTTGAGGGTGGGAAATCCTATTATGGTAGTTGAAAGGTGGGCCTTTGAAGAGGTGATTAGATTGTAAGGACCATGCCCCAGTTCATGGGCGTGGTTCTGAGAGCTTTAAAAGGAGAGCACATGAGAGTCTCTCTCTCTGCTCTGCCATTTTGACATGTGAGACCCCGCATTATAGTCACCACCAAGGCCTTCATGAACAGATTTTTTGCTATGCCAGCTTTTATAATTTCTTTTAAACAACATTGGCCCCTTAATTTGAGGATAAAACTCTTCAGAAAGCATAATATCCCTAAGGATTGGGGAACAGACCACGCCAAGATAGGGTCCCGGGCTTCGAGCATCCCGATAACGCTGTACTGACCCCTGTCCTCCGTCCTCTGCAGCCTTCTTGCCTGCTTTTAAAGGAGTAGGAATTACACTGACCACTTGGTGGCACCAAGTAACTGAAGAGGAGAGACTGGGTTTTTTCCATTGTGTGTTTTCTGCCCCAGTGCTGGCAGGCAGTGAGGGGCTCACGTTGCACCGTGTGAAGCCTGGAGGGGATGGACTGTGCCTCCGTGTTTTAGGCAGTGTGCTCTCAACCTTTGAGGAGCAAGTCGTTATCGTGATAACTGTACGAATTATTAAGCATTGTCACTGGGCTGGCCCCAGGGGAGCTATAGCAGCTACCCCCACCCACCCCTGCCTCTCGACTAGAGCACACAGATCTGCTTTTGGGGAGACGGGGCAGCCCCTCCAGCCACGGACAGAAGCACAGCCAGAGGGGCGAGCTAGGGTGAAGTGATCTGTCCCCTTGTCTGCACTGTCCCTCTCACAGGAGCCCACGGAAAGTGGGGACAGTGTCCTTTTTATCTTCATATTCCCAGCATCTAGCAGCGAGGTGGTCCTCAGTTACTGGTAGCAGTTTGCTGGGGTTGATGCTAGGAAAGGAAGGTTGGGAGTGGACTCTGATGGGGCCCGGGTGGCACGAATGACATGTTTAGGGAGCAGTGCAGAGAAGAGACGAGGAGCTAAAGGCACCCTTCAGCCCCCCGAGGGTCTGCGTGCCTTCCTGCCTCAGCTGCAGCTTCTCCTGCATCACTGTGGGCAAAGGAGAGATGCATTTGCTAAGGCACGTTGGTGCCGGCAAACCACACGGGACCCTGTGGGTTGAAAGAGCTGACGCCCATGGACTGTGTGTGTGTCTGTGTGTGTCTGTGTGGTTATGCTCCCCGAGCCTCCTCGTCTCCAGCAGTCTGCGCTGGCCTTCTTCTGTTTCGTGTCATTGATCTCACGCAGGAGCAGGGTTCTTTGCCTTCTCTTGGCATGATTGAACTTGTTCCTACATTCTCTTCATTGCTTGTAAGCGCTTAGGTGGATCTAGAGGTTTGATTAGGTTTACGTTGAAGGTGGTTCGGGGTGTCGGTGTCACGTCACATCACGAGGTGCATAGTTTCTGGTTGTCCCATTTCTAGTGACACTAAGACCAAGCCCTGGGTTCAGAGCTGTCAGTGTGATCCCTCCATCAACCTTCACCTACCGGTTTTAAAACCCATTGATGATCCATTATTCTGTTGCCAGTGGTGGGGTTTTTCCTAATTTTATCATTTATTTTACATGTGCTGGCTGGACTTCTTCTATGAACTTTCCTTCATCAACTCCGTGGTTGCTCTGAAGTACAATTTGTACAGGCAGGGCAGGGTATTGCTTGGTTGTCCTTTTATTGATCCACCCTCAGGGTAATGACCTGGTACCCTAGCAACTCCCAATAGTGACCAATGAGTTTTGTTTTTTCTTTTATTTACTTTTGCTCAAGCATCGTTGTGAATGCATTGATTTTTATATATTTGATTTGCTTTCATCCATGAAAGCCTTTATTCATTTTAATCTCAAGTTGTCCCTCCTTAGGCTATTGGGAGTCACTTCAGATTAGCTCCTGGGTTCTTTTGACATGACCCCGTTCATCTTTGAAAGCTTCCTTGTTTGTTGCACAGTGAGAAATCCCAGGTTTATTTTGCATAGTTCCTGCTCCAGACCTGGAATCAGCCTTTTCTTCACAGGGCCCTGGCTCCTCCTCTTTAGTGTGAAATCATTTTTAGAGACCACCATCTGGCTGCCAGGGATGATGACTGCTACTTGTCTGTCATTGATTGTAGACATTTCCAGTAGATGTAGCTAAGAAATATGTTTTATTTTTTAAGAGTAAAATAAATCATTAATTCATTAATTCACTGATATTTCCAATTCAAGTTTAATAAGACAACATTTTTACTTCTTTGATTCTTTGTATTCTCTTTTCTCTTATACTGGAAATCTCGACTCCTTATGATATTAACAAAATTACTTTTCTTCATCCTGTAATATACTTACAGTGATTTCATTACCCCCTTTCCCACATGGATTAGGCATGGTAAACATTGTTCTGCACTCTACTTTTTAATCAGTCTGTAATAATGACTTCCCAAGTATAATTCTCTTAAAATTTCTACTTTACTATCCAGGATTCTTAGTGTTAACCTTTTACATTAAAACATTAAATAATAATAATAATAATAAATAATAATAATAATAATGATATATTTTATTCCAATTCAGGTTTGCCTCCTTTATTTATAAAATTTCTTCATCTCTTTCCAGTCTTAGGCTGGCATAGCTATGTTCAATTGAAGAACTTCCCTATAATGAAATGTTTTCCACATTTGTAAAATTCCCATTCCTATCTCCATGTTCTTAGAATCAAAGATGTGCGACTATTCTAAGGTTAAATATAATGAATTCCTTAAATATAAAAGTATCTTGTGATATAATTCATGACAATTTCATACATTTTAATACTGTAGTACAGACCATACATCTCTTGATACATTTACAAACATTATAACATACTTCTGTCAAATTTAACTACTAAGACACTTAATGCAAAATACATTAAGACACATTATTACCAAACAATTCCTTAAGAGTTTATGTAAATAAACAGAAATGGGAAAAAAAGAGACCTACATATTAGCAAATACAAATGCAACTACAGAAGGGTTGAGTTCACTTATTCTAGAAGCTTCTTTTTTGATGCTTAGTGTGTGTGCCAGGTACTGCACTAGCTGTTGGATCCACATTTATCTGATGCTATCTTTCTCAACACAATTACTCCACTTCCTTTCTCCTACTCCCCTCTCAAAAGCAAAACAAAACATTTTTAGAATCAGCAACATGTTGTTACAATGGGGCAATTCTAGTGACTCAATCTTTCCAGAACATCTTTTTTTTTTTCCTTTTTGTCTTTTTTACTGACTGGTAACGGGATCGCAACCCTCGGTGTCACGCCCGTACCAGGGACCGGCAACGGGATCGCAACCCTCGGTGTTGGCATCTCAACCCTCGGTGTTGGGATCGCAACCCTCGGTGTTGCGCCCGCACCGCGCTCAGCCAGTGAGTGGGAACCGGTCTCCACATGGGATCTGAACCCTCGGCGGGAGCGCCGCCGCGCTCCCAACCAGTGCACTCTCCAGTGCGGCACCGGGCCGGCCCACTAAAGAAGCTATTTTTATTCGTTTGTTATTTATCTTTCTATTTTTATTTTTTAACTGTAAGCAAACACATACATGTGTTCATGTATATATATATTTATACCCCACTTATCTGCACAGAGCTAACATGCCATAAACAGTGCTCTGCACTCTGTGCTGCTTTCTCACTTAGTATGGTCTAGCGGTGCCTGTGTACAGAGTAAGGAGACTGTCCTCACCCATGTGGCCAGCTACAGAGCCCTCCACTATGTGAAATTCCGCGGTTTATTCAGTTAGACACCTACTGAGGGACATTTGAGTTGTTTCCCGGAGTCTTTTGCTTATATAAATATTGCTATCATACATGGCCGTGTGCATGCGGCATTTTGTGGTTTTGCCAGTGTATCTCTGGGGAGGCCTCTTCAAGCTGTCTCCACGCCTAGTTATACCCAGAGTGGAGGTATGTGGACAGTGGCTGTGGTTTTCAGAGGGTGTGGCCGTGAGCTGTCCACCGAAGGAGGGAGATCCAGGCATGTGTGTGATCTCTGTGTTAAGAGCTACCTTTGGAAGAGAGGGGCTGGTTCCTTCACTTGGCTTGATTCCCTCTTAGAAATGTGAGGACACACCCTTCTGGAGGCACAGGTTCCCACTTGCAAGCACTATTGCAGGCTCAAAGGAGGTTTAGTTAAAAGGAAACATCATTAGCCAACACAATTTGATCTGCAGTGTCCCTAAATGCCCCACAGTGGACAGGATGCCCAAGAAATATTGGCGCACACGAGATGCCCAGTGTGTGCAGAGGTGAGCTTTCCTTCCTTCATCATCGGGTCTCAGTCACCTCCTTCCACCTATTGTTCAAGAGCCACGGCTGCTAGGAAAATCTGACAGCTAATTCCCACATCCTCTTAGGATATTTTGTGCATGTCCTGTGGGTTCAGTTCCAAATCAGATCCTTGAGCTTGCAGCTGAGATGGGGATGACAGAAGGGTCCACTGCCTGTGCTACAGGACCTAGGCCCAGGGGTAGGCTTGCACAGGTGGTGCCAGGTAATAAAAAGAGGACGTGGCTTTGCAGATTTGCAGTTCTCGCTTTCAGCCAGCTGTGGATGTATGTTTTGGACCTTCTTGCGCCTGCTGTGCAAACACAGCCTCCAGCCCACCAAGAGGCTGTGTGTTTGGCCACAAGGCACAACCTCAGTCTCCCCGGGCATCCATGTATGACAGGCCTTACAGAACCCAGCTGGTGCCAGCCCTGCCTTTCTGCAGGCTTGCTATCTTGGACCTCACACCTCATCAACCTTCGTTTTTCCATTAATAAAAAGAATTCATACAAACTTCAGATGTCTTAGGAAAATTCCTATCTCTACAGTGCTCCTAGTAGCTGACTGGAATTTGACAGTGTGGGGATAGACTGAAGTCAGGAGCAACTTAAAACTGGGTGCAACAGAGGGCTTGTCATGTGATGTGCTGTTAACCCGCATCCCCCTTTTTCGTTCTGAGTCCCCCAGGGGTCAATGAGTGATGGAGGTGGGCAGAGTCTCACAGTGGCTCTTCTATCCTAGGGAGTCGAGGGGCATGCTGGGCAGCCGGGCCCTATCCCACGACAGTATTTTCATTCCTGAGTCTGGACAGGACCCTACTCGGCCTGTGCGGGTGTTTTCCCAAGAAAATGTGTGTGATCGCATTAAAGCTCTGCAGGTAAATAAATGTTCCCTTGGCGGTGTCACTTGGTATGTATGTCAAATATCAATTAAGGTGCTTTAAAATGATTTCTGCTTGGTTTATTTGATGTATTTTAAAGTAGAATTGCATGCACATCACAACTCTCCCAAGACATGCCAAGTTAGCTACAAGTGGATTTTTTTTTTTTAATCCATGTGTTCAAGGCATGAACCAGGAATGGGCACAGATCAAAAGCCAAGTTGGGATAAATGAAGGGTGCTTTGTCCCTGCTGATATGAGATGGGCAACAGGTGGATCTTGACCCATTCTAAGGCACAGCTTCAGGGACCAAGCGAGAGCTCTGGCAGTGCAAGAGCTGTGCAGACGCCCTTCAGTTCAGTCCCCTGCACCACACGAGGGTGTGGAGGGCACTTCCCAAATGAGTGAATCGGAGCAGGAGGCTTTGTTGGTAAATGTTGTTGATGGAAATAAGAGCAAATGTTTTTTATTCTAATCTAGTTAAAAATACAGTGTAATGTCAAAATGGGGCCACCACCTCCTCCAGGGGGGCTTCCTGCCAAGCGGGGAGACGATGCTGGCATGAGCTCTGAGGACGACGGACTACCCAGGAGCCCCCCAGAGATGTCTCTGCTGCAGGATGTGGGTCCTGGCACAACTATAAAGGCAAGTGCAGGCTCCAGCCATGCCCGCCATGGGGGGTAACGGAGCTCTGGAGTCCCCCCTGTGTATTCCCCTGAGATCTCCACAAAGAGAGGGACGAGGCTGTGTGCAGGGGGGCAGAGCAGGTCACTGGAGCCTCCAGTCAGCCCTTGGGCTGTATTTATTTTTATTCTTTGAGCAGAAATTCAGGTCTGGTTAGGAGATGTGGTTTGGGAGACATTTTTTGTGATGATGATAGATCTGATACAATCAACCTCGTCTTTCCTGTCTGAGCAGATGACCCGACCAGAAGCCCATTTAAAAGAAGGGAAACACCTTTGTGTCTGTTTTCTGTTGTCATGACATTTGGTGGAGGGAGAGGAAGGAGTAAACATGTAACAATCTAGGCACCCACGTCTGAGTCTTATGCCCATGACAGCGCGTTGGTTTAGGGGTAATGTGAGGTGTGTTACTGGCACACAGGGCAGCGGGCAACGTTTGACAAGCAGGAGAGGGGTTTATGACTCAGTAGGGTGGAAGAGCTGATCCCAAATGCCACCCACCCCAAGAGACTCTGAGAGGAGAGCCCGAGGGACTGAGCTCCTTCTCATGCATAAACAACATGCTCATGATGCTGCCCCTTTTTAAAATTTCTATTTTATTGTGGTAAGAACACTGAACACCCATGCAATGTACTCGTACATAAATAATAACACAGATGATCATCTTTCCCATGTAGACAAGGTTTGCCGTGGAGCGGACAGGACTGGAATTATCTGAGTTACGCTGATACTTGAAAAACAAAGGCCAGAGTTTATTTTTTACTGCCACACACCTGCTCTGCATGTCCTGTCTCCTCTGGTCAAGAGGCTATTCACAGTGAGGTTGTGGGGTAAATTGTGAATCCCTGCCTTGCAGATTCAGTGCTGCTCTGAATTACATTCTGTAGCTGCTTCACCTTGGACGTCTAGAAGCGCCCCCATGCCTAACGTCTGTGGGTAGCTGTGGATTCTCAGTGTCAGTGATGAAGAGGCGGAGGAAGGACTAAGGTGTGGCTGAGTTAGTAAGCCCACTCTGGGCAATTGTTCTCTCCAGAATTCTGCTCCAGGGCAAGCCTCTCCCTGCTTGCTCCAAGAGTAGGATCTGGGGACACCAGCTCTGTGGCCTTGAGAACAAGGAGGATGACATGGCCTATTTCCTGGACTCCTCCAAGCCAACCCTATACCCCTTAACACCTTAAAATGCCCCTGCACAGTTTCAGCGTCCCCATCTCAGGAGCAGATGTGACTTGGTATGTCTCAGGCCATGTGGTGGGGCAGTGTCTGTCGTGATCTGCCCTGACGCTACTCATCGCAGACTGACTGCCCATGCCACGGATCTCTGACTCTCACGGCATCCTAGTTCTCTGCTGTTAGCTGGGACAGGCAGTAAAGAGGAAGAACAGGCTGTTTCTAACGCATTCCTTGAAGAGCAAGTCCAGCTCCAGCTGCATGCACGGTGGTGCACGGACGCCCCAGTTAGCTGGGTGGGAGCCGCTCGCACTGGGCCAGGGCTGACCTCGTTTTTCTCAACTTCCTTCCTCTCGTGGTTACTTTTTTTTAAAAAAAAGTTCTGAGATTTTATCAATTGTCAGGTACCATGAGCAATCTACTAGCTTCCTAGGAAACCAGAATTTGGATTTTTAAGACTTAGGAAAAATAGGTGATCTTTATCATCCAAGTTTTGAAGACACAATGCTCACATTTTGTGCCCTGAAAGTTTTTTGTGCGCTGTTGTCCAATTGAGAATGAAATACAACACAGCCTTTAAAATGTGCTTATAGGGCCGGCCCGGTGGCGCACTGGAGAGTGCGCCGCTTGGGAGCGCGGCGGCGCTCCCGCCGAGGGTTCGGATCCCATGTGGAGACCAGTTCCCGCTCACTGGCTGAGCACAGTGCGGGCGCAACACCGAGGGTTGCGATCCCGTTACCGGTCAGTAAAAAAGACAAAAAAAAGGAAAAAAAAAAAATGTGCTTATATATCACATGGGTACTTGATGTAAAGGTGCCTTAAATCCCAAAAGGATGGGATTGTGGGCTGTTTAATTTTTTCCTTCTTTAACACTTTACACAGGCCACATGCCAGACAGAGAAACTTACAAAGATGACTATAGGGAAAAAGTCTGTCGCAAGTATTTGATGATACTGTCAAGGGGCTATTTCCTAACAGAATAAACTTTTCAGCAGATACATGGAATTGTTTTTTTTAAATTTCATTATCACATGAGGTAGCGATGACACTTTACTTGGAGATTATTAAGGTAAAATTACATCTCACTGATCATATTCTGGGTTTCCTGCTTCAGCAGGGAGTGCCAACCAGGGGGATAAACTGGCAGGTCTTTTAAGTCTGTTTTGTTCTGGGCAGTGAGGGAAAGGAAGGTAGTGGAGAGGACACAGGTCTGGTGACAAATGGATGAAGCATGCCATCTCCACAGAGTAAGGCCTGGGGCAGGTTTGTCACCTCTTGGAATCTGTGTCGTCAGAAGGTTTGGGGAGGGTAAAATGAGACCGGGTAGACGGTTGCCTCCCCGCCCAGCAGGACCAGTGGGCTTCTCTTCACTGACCAGAACACACCGGCCACTCCTGCTGCCTCTCTGGTGGCCGTTCCCACATCCGCTGCCCTTGGTCCCCAGTGTTTATCTCTTTGAAGATGAACATTGTAAAGCAGCTGTCACCCAGGGTCACCCCAGAAAAAGCTTCTGAGCCCCAAGCCATTTCCTCAGGGCCCCGTGAGCCACATTCCCTGTCACAAAGGGCCACATGTTAGATCTTTCAGTCCTCTGTTTCCAGAATCATCCAGAAGAACAGATTTCAGGAAAAATTGGGTAACGAGAAGCAAACAATGCCAATGTGAATTCTCCGGATGCTGCCAGCCCACCCATGAAAATGCCAGCTTCCCTGCCCTTCCCCCCACCCCGGAGACCCCACCCCAGCCCCGCCCCACATAGTCACATCACTGATCAAAGATAGGCTCATGAGTCTCCTTGGTTGTGAAGGTGTTCATCTTTGCAGACCCCAAGAACTCTCAGAATGACACTGGAGAATGGGAAGTGAGTTCTAAGGTCAGAGGAATTGAGTTCCCTAAGGGGGAGACCAGCTGTGACAGCTAGTATGGAGTTGCACGTGGACAGGAGACAGGGAAGTTAAGTTCTGTGCCGAGGTCCCCAGCATGGGGCCAGAGTGGGCCAGAGCCTAAGACCTTCTGCCTAGGCAGAGCAAACACAAGGCAACCCAAGCAGAAGAGTGGCAGGGACTTCTTGCCCTTTGCAGACTTCAGGGTATTGTTTTATAGTAGGGTGACTGAAGGCCCATGCTGTCACATTCTCATTTCCAGAGTCACCGTATTTGCAAAGCAACACATCTGTTCTCATGAGTGCCAGGCAGTGAGAAAAAAAAAATTTTCCTGTAGGCAAGGGTCAAAGTTAAGGATTCCGTATGATTTTGAAATATACACATGCTGTTTGTGACCCTTAAGGAAGATTATCTGGGAAAGGTATCACTTGCCCAGTGTAAGGTGACTTCCTGAGTCATCAGCTATAGTTATGGCGAAGAATCCTGTGGTTTATTTTTAAAGTAATTTTTCTTGCTTTATTCCCATAAGTACCTGAATAGCTAAAAGAAAAGAGCTAATAAAATAGGTTATGTCCACTTCTATCCCTTTCTCCTTTATTTTAGTAATTATCTCCTCCCAATTTACAAAATAAACTTTATGGAATAAACTTTATACTTTCATGAGAAAATACCGTGGAACTTTGAACAGGGAAAATAAGTTCTTCTCTGAGGTTGTTCCTCTGTGGGAACAGTCCCCGTGTCGGAGCCTGTCTCTCTACTAGTGTCAACCTCCTGGCTCCCCATCCAGTTTAGCGAGGCTGCTGGGCACCTGCTCTGTGTGGGGCTCCAAGGTCATGGAAAAGAGATAGCAAGACATGCCCACGGCCCTGGGAGCTCAGCATCAGGCAGATCTGGCATCTTGCTCGCTGCTTCTTTCCTGTCTCATCAGGGCTTGCTAAATCATTGTGTAAGGAATAAAATTAAGTTCTTAAGTTAAAATGTAAACTTGACACTAACACTGAGCACCATGCTCACATAGAAAGGTTTATTTGTTTGTTCAAAGATGGCAGGGTTGTACTAAAAGCCCAGCACCCACCAGATTCTCCCTCTGCACGCACCTCTGGGCTGCAAGTGTGCACGGATGCTCAGAGCTTTCTGCTGATGCACGTCTTTGCAGGAGAACCCACCCACATCTCACTCAGTGGAGGAGCTCGCCAAGTTTGGTGGGCAGGTTTGTTAGGGTGTGGCCCATTTGTCCGTGTGGCTGCCAGAATCCCCTTCCTCCCTGGCCATGCACACTTTTGTTTTTGCTGAATGTCAGTTCCTCCCTGCTGAGGTATAAGCTGGTAACATATCTGTAACTTAACAGATGGTAACTTAAAGCCAGATTTCTGCAAGAGAGAAATCTGCATGAGGATAGAGACCTTCTAGAATGAGCAAATGAAGTTCCTGTGGAGGAATGTGGGGTGGTGGGCTGGGCACCTCCTGTGTGCCCAGCCCCTAAAATCTCACCTCTGGGCTACCCTCTAGGCTTCCAGAGATAGGACTAGCTGAAGCTGCCCTTGGAGAAATGCAGCTGGTCTGTTTCATCGGAGAAAGTAGCTCTTTTCTGAGAGCCTGTGCCAGCTGCTACAGGAGGGTGAGGGCAGAGGGGGCCTGGGATACAGTTTCTCTGCATGGCTTTGGAAAGGAGTGGCAGGTTTCCAGGGGTTGGCCCAGCACTTTAAACTCCCAGCCATCTACCTTCTAAAGGAGTATCCTAGAACACTCCCTGTCAAGGGTCAAATTGAAAGTATCTCTGCACATGTAAAGCCCAGAGACAGCGTGGGAAGACTGAGGAGGATAAAAGGAGAGTTTATGTGTTGGCTGTACCTGTTTCACGTTGGAAATTTAATGCTTGGTGTGTTTGCTCTTGCCTCGTGAAGGTCTCTTTAGTGTCCTCATCCCGGCCAGTGTCTCCAGACCACGTGAGCGACACCACGGTCTCCCCCCGGACCTCTGACAGCAGCCTGGTGCCCGTGGCTGATTTTAGTTACCCTCCGGAATTCTCCTCCTGCCTGGACAACTCTGCAGCCAAGCACAAGCTCCTGGTTAAGCCCCGCAACCAGCGGTCGAGTAAAATGAGGCGGCTGTCTTCGGTAACTGGGCTTCCTCCTCTGTGCAGAGGCAGGGCAGGCAGCCTTGGCACCCCCCTCTCCCTTCCCCCACCTCTGTCCCCCCACAGGGTCTTGTGCCCCCTCTGAGAACCACCACAGTTGATGGGACTCGGCTGCAGGAGCTGGAGTTGCTTGTCATTTTCAACAGAAGTGAATCATTTCTTCCTTGCGTAAACACTCCATCATTCATTCATTCATTCATTCATCCATTCATTCATTCCATACACAGTTATCAAGAACCTTCTGTGCACTGTGTGCCGATTGACAGAAGTGAATCATTTCTTCCTTGCGTAAACACTCCATCATTCATTCATTCATTCATTCATTCATTCCATACACAGTTATCAAGAACCTTCTGTGCACTGTGTGCCGATTACACTCAATGCAAAGTCCACCCTCTAGTCCTGGCACAATCAGGCCCTGCCTACCTCTCGTACTTCCTCTTTCTCACGCACACTTTGGCCTCCATTCTGCTTCTTGAGCTCCCGGAGCTGTCTCCGGCCTCAGCCCTTAGTACTGCTATATCCCTTGCCCGAGATACTTTTTTCCTGATTTGCTGCTTCTCAGCCTTAGAGTCTCAGCTCAGAGGTCCTCTTCCTAGAGAGACTCACCCTGATCATTCACTTCCTTCAGAACAGTCACCACACACACAAGTGACCTTGATAATTGTATGTGCTCACTGGCTTTTTGCCAGTCTTCTTTAGGGCCCTGTCTCAGCTGTACTTCCAGCCCCCAGAGCAAAGCTATAAGAGCTGGCATTCCGTAAACACTCGTGGAATGGATGAATGAGTCAACAAATGAATGAGCGAGTGAGTGAGAATGAATGAGTGAATGACAGAAGAAGCTGCTGAAACACTGGAATGGACACTAGCCTTGGGCAAGACCTCCTGAGCAGCACGGGATCATGTCTCTGTTTGGACAGACCTCTCTTTGAGAATGCTGCCTGGGGGAATTGTCAACTTGTAGTTAGTTCTGGAAGCTGAGAAACTGGCTTGTGGAATACTTTGGCTTCATGGTGCCAGCGGGTTAGAGGTCCACGTAGGTCTGCAATGGTTGCCTTGTCTCCTGCCTGATGGGGCCTACAATGCCTCACAGCTGCAGGAGGTGAGGAGCAGGGTGTGGGGCCAGCCTGGCCACCCAGAATGACAGTGCTGAGAAAGAGATGCTCACAGGCTAGCGGCCCCTCTCTCTCCTTCCCCCATGACATGATCGTAGGGTACTGATGCAGTACCCAAGACGGGTAGGTGCTTCAGCTGGAGATCGTGGGCTGTGGCCGCTCAGGATTTCAGAGACTCCCGGGAGAGAGTGAGTTTTCCTTTGGGCATGTGGAAGGTGCTTTTTAAACTCATGCCAGCAGGGTTGACTTTTGAGGGGATTGATGCTGGAGGAAGAAGCAAGGTGAGCCACATCAGACTGATGTGCCAGCTGGGGTCTAGGGAGCTGGGGCTATGCTTGTGTGTCCAGCACGTTTGCAGTTGGAGGCTGTGTGCTGTGGGGACTTGACGAGGTCCAGCAACTCCAGACCTGCCTGTTCTCATGCTGAGTGGAACCCGAGGGCCAGCTGCCTTCTGACCCTCAAGTCTGTGCTTATTCCCGCGGGGATGTCTTTCACTCTGGCAGGGCATGTGTAACCAGCCACAGCCTGCCCAGGTGGTGACAGGGAAGACCAGTTCATGTTCAAGATAAATACAGCATCCCTCTCGCTGCCCTCTGGGCAGATCTGTAATCCTCTTTCTTTGCTTTTGAACTTGACTTAGTTTTTGTATCCCATTTTGTAGAATAACAGAAAATCTGGCATAGTCAGTCTGGGTAGAATGTAAACATAGTCCTTTCTTTATTTAAACTCTGTCATTTCTGTATCTTTCCCCTCCATCGTTCCCTTCCCTGCTTGGTAGGGAGCGGGCATGGATGTCTTAAGTTCTCAGAGACACCCAAATTTTCCTGACTGGGCCCTGGTCACCAGTGTCCCTCCATTCATGGTTGGGTCCTAAGTCGGAGGGCTCTGTCCTTCAGGGTCCACAGCCCCCTTTGCCCTTTGGTCATGAGGTCCCTCTTCTCAACTGCGAGGATGCTCCTCATTGCCTGGCCCCTCTCAGGGATCAAGGTGCTTTCAGAAGCTCCTGTACTGCCTCAGGAGTGGGAAAGAGTGGCCATGCTGCCCTCTCTGCTGCCTTCCTGGCCCTGGGGACTTCTGTGGAGGCTCACTGTCCCTTTGGACTTCACTGGACAGTGAGATCCTACTTTCTCCTGCTTTTCTGATTGCCCGTAAGTCCCGGGGCTTCTTTCTTCATCACCTGTTCCCTCGCCACCACCCCCCCAGCCCTGAGGCTCAGGTGCCTTCAGTCTCCGCCTCGTCTCTTCCTCCTCCTGCTGCTGCCCAAGCCCTTCCCTGTGTCTGGGTGGAACAACCGTCCTTCCCTGCCAGGCATTCTCCAGCTCTGTCGTCAGTGGGCTACGGTCCCTACTCCACATCATCCAGGCTCTCAACCTTTTGATGCTCTAGGCAAAGAAAAGGTTCTTTTTATCTTAAAAAGAAACACCCCAACTTGTACAGTAACCGCTTTGGCTGTCAAGCCTGTAGTATTTGTTATGAATTTGAAAAACACATTCCAGAGTGCATGCGACTGAGTCCATCTGCCACCACCGAAGCAGAGGCCGGGAACGACAGCCCCGCCTGCTGCCTGAGCACGTCACCCTGCCGCACAGAATGACGCCCTGCCTGCGGTTCCACACAGTGGAAGGGGGACACCCATAGCGTTTGCCCTCATTTCTCACCACACCAATCGGTCCCCATCCCCACCCAGGCAGTGCCAGGAGCAGGGAATACTGTTCACTCCATTTTAACAGGAACAGCACAACTAGATGAGTACTTCGAGGTCTCGTGCCTGCCAGAGCTGCAAGGCCCTGGTCTCAGACAGACCCTGCCACCTCCTCTCCACCACTGCACTGCTCATTGGCAGTGTCCTCTGCCCAGAGATGATGGATGTGGACACTGCTCCGAGGAGCTTTCCTCTGGTGACATGAGGCAGATGAGCAGGCAGCCACCATGGCGTCTCCATCTTGGTGCAGGCTGAGCAACGGGTCCCCCATTTCTACCAGGGTGCGAAGCCCCTGTGAGGGCCCAGAGGAGGAGGTGATGGGGAGGCTGTGGAGATGGACTGGGTTTAAGGCACCCAGGTAGCATGGCGCCCAGAGCTGCTTCCTGCTGTGCCTGGCCAGAAATCCTGGGCTAGGTTAGAAGCAGCTTTGCTCCCCTCCAGGCCTCTATTCAGAGTCCAAGTCCACCCTCTGGGGTGCGCATTCCATCCTGCCTTAGTCCTGCTCGGCCCCTCTAGTCACCTCTTTGTAGCTGCCAGTGGCCCAAGCTGAGATGTGCCCCAACCACGTCTACTCCCCAGCTCTCCACTGACTTAGCTGGGCTCCATGATTGGTAGTTTTCATATGTGAGCCATGTCCTAAACATATTTGAACATTAACAATTTCATGTAGTAGCAAAAGGCCAGTGACACGGCAAACTCAAGAACCTAGTGCTTCTGGAAATTCTTCCGTAGAATTTTCTTTGAGCATCTTCCTCTTCTTACTGTCAAACAAAGGGGATTGCACATTTTGGCAAGAGTCAGCTTAGATATTGTCACAGACATCCCAGTCATCTTGTGTTCTATTAGCAAGCAGATGCCCCTGGGAGAATGTTAAAATAACAACAAACAAACAAACAACAACAACCTATTGCAAACATATCTCCTGTGCCATGTTTCCTACTTTAGAAAAAGGGAAGGAGGGAGCTGTGTTTGTGACTTTGTGAGGAATAAGGAGGAAGCTGGACTAGAATCTGAATCCCAGAGAACTTTCAGAATAAAAATACCAAATACCACAAGGCGGTGTGTGGTGGTCAGGGCAGCAGGGCTTAAGGAGGCTGGAGAGGGGAGGATCCTAAGCTGCAGGGAACAGGCAAGACTCCCTACAGGAGGAAGAGTTTGGAGCAGTCCTTAGGGGCACTGGGAGAGCATGGCAGGGACACCGACAGTCCCTCAGGCCCAGCTTCTGGCAGTGTTGGGGGCTTGGTTTGATTTGAGTAGGGAGTGGGAGAAACAACTTAAGACCAGAGACTATAGGACTTTAAATTTAGCTGAAAATTTGGGGTTTTATCCTATAAGCTGTGGTTAGCTATTGACTGTGACGATATGAATTCTCTTTTAGGAAAAGTAGTCTGGCTTTACTATGAGGGTTCATCCCTGAGGATTGTTGACATGGGAGACTGGCTCAGAGGCAGCACAGGGTCATAGAAAGATCACCAGCTGTTCATCCGGGCCAGCTATTAGCTCAGCCTTGACCAAGGTATTGAAACCTCTGAGCTCCTGGTCTTCCAAGTGGAAAAGGGAATGATAATCCTTTCCTCACTGGGACGAATCGAGCATTGAATGAAATAACAAGTGTAGAGCGCAGAGTATGACGGACACTCAGCCAGCGTCAGTCCCTTTCCCTTTGCTTCACTCTGTAGAGTAGCATCTGCTGGTTTTGAGATTCCTCCAGATGATCTGTAGGTGACAATTATTTTGAGGGCACAACTGCCACTGTTATGCTAAACTTGTGAGCCAAGATTCCAAGTAGCCCACTGTGTGTGGATGTCTACTTAAGTGCCAGCTTTAGAGACACTCTGCTTTCTCTAAACTGTCTTAAGCCTTGAAGACAATGGGAGGTCATGGGCTTATTAATACTTGCTGTAGTAATGGTGTCTTCTATCCTCATATCTCTCAGCGTGCACAGTCTGAATCCCTGAGCGATCTGACTTGCACCCCAGAGGAGGAGGAATTTGATGAGAAGCCATTACCCGAAGTCAGCACAGAAGAGAGCTCCAGCTCTGGGCAGCAAGACATGGTGCTGGACAGAGGCCCTGAGCCCAGGGGAGCAGCCACCTTGCTGCAACCTGGAGGGCCCCGTGCTAGACGCGCCCGCCTGCAGCACTGCCCAGCGCTCAGTGCCAGCGTTGAGGAGGGGAGCTGCCCTGGGGATGACCTCTCAAGCCGCCTGGCCACCCCAGAGGCCACTGAGCCCGTGTCAGTCCCAGCTCCCTGCTTGGAGTCCCCATCTCTGCCAGAGGGATCCCCACACCCTAGTCCCGATGGGGAAAACCAGGAGGAGGGACTGTCCACCACAGAAGCAGGTCCCCCAGCTGGGGACACAGCTGGCGAGGTGCTTTGTGCTCCTGGAGACGTCAGAAGTTCATTATCTATTTCAGTCCCTTTGGGGAACACAACACCTCCCGAGATTGTCACTACTGCCACCTTGGAGATGCTCTCTGGTCCAGACGGGCCAGACCAAAGTGTTCCAAAGGAAGCGGAGCCGCGGCTGGAAGTGACCCGGCCGGAGGGGACCGGGAAAGACCCTGCCCCGGCGCCCGCCCCGAGCCCCCCGGCGCCCAAGAGCTGCCTGAAGCACAAGGCCTCGGCCGCGAGCATGGGCCTC